CCCTTAGGTCACTTGCCACTGTCGTGGGAAAGAGGCCACATGGCACCAGCGGGTCCCTAAAAAAGTGCTTTATTTGAGTACAGAGGGGAACGGTTGCACCACGAGTCCGCCCAAGCACTGGGCTGGGCCCCTCCGTCGACCCCTTCCAGTCCCTCACAAGCTCTCCGTCTCTCCCTGACGGGCACACAGACACAGCTCAGTCCCGTGTCCACAGCTCTCGGCCAGCACCGCCAGCCAGCACCCGCAGCAGCCTGCGCGACAGCACCGCTACTCCGTGACCTCAGGGACAACGCTCACCAGCAAAGTGTCGTAGCCACGCCGCACCAGCAAGGCCAGGCTCTGCTGTGTCCGCACTGCCTCGTACACATCCTCCGCACGGCGCGATGCCCGCCCGTTGATCTCCAGCACGACGTCACCTGCCTTCAGCCCGGCCCTGTGGGGAGAACGACGACAGAAGCGCACAGTGGGCAAAGCAAATGCTCAGCTTTGTCTTCCCAGAAGGAAGGAGAGCCAGGCACTACAGGAGGCTTGGGCTGTTGCACCAGGCGTTCCTCCAGCCACACAGGCACTTTGGCCAAGGGGACACTAAGCCTGGGCAAGGGTCACCAGTTGGTTTCTGCTGCAGACTGACGGCTGCAGGCCCCAAGCCCTGCCACTCTGGAGCAAAACACTCAGAGCTAAACACATACCGTCCTGCGTAGCTGCTTCCCATGCCACCCCCTAAGGCAGAGGGCAGCACTTACTGGTGGGCCGGGGAGCCGATGATCACCTTGTGGATTAGCACTCCGTAGGAGACATCGGGGAAGCTGGGGTCACGTAGCTTCAGCTCAGCCAGGATGCTGCAGAGTGAAAATCAGCATCAGGTAAGGAATCACAGAATCATAGAATTGTTTAGGTTGGAAAGGACCTTTAAGACCATTGAGTCCAACCATAAACCTAACACGGCCAAGCCCACCACTAAACCATGTCCCTAAGCACCACATCTACACACCTTTTAAATGCCTCCAGGGATGGTGACTCTATCACTTCCCTGGGCAACCTGTTCCAGTGCTTGACAATCCTTTCAGTGAAGGGCCGGACAGCTCGTTTGGTGAAGAAATTCTTCCTCATATCTGAACTAAACCTCCCCTGGCACAACTTGAGGCCATTTCCTCTTGTCCTATCGCTGATTACTTGGGAGTAAGGAGCTGGGAGGCAGAGCAGGGCTCCCACCCCACCATGGCTGTGCCGGCTTGGGGAACCAGCGCCCCACCATGTCTGTGCCGGCTTGGAGACCAAGCGCAGAACCTCCCTGCACACTGCCAAACACAAGCAACCAGCTCCAAACCCCAGGGGTACCCAACCACCACCATCTTCCTGTCAAAAACTAAAGGGCAAAAGTTCTAACTGCGCCAGGGAGAGCTGGAAACCACCAGAGCAGCTGCCAGCTGGATCACAGCTGCTGGCGATGCACGTCCCCTCTCTGAGCAGCTGCACATCAGACCACCCTTCCTAGTGTCAGATCTACTCCTCCCTTGCTGCAGTTTCACTTCTCTGCCTTTGGCAGGTAGGACACAGAACAAAAGCTATGCCCCCTCTTTCTGCCAGACGTGTCAAGCAGAGGTATACCCACATCTCTCCTCTGGAGTCTATAGACTAAACAATCCCAGTTCCTCCAATCTTCCCGCAGATTAGCTTTTCTAAACCTAGCCTAAATTCTGCACCTCTCACTGCTCCTCTTTGGATTCTCTCCAACTGCTCCTCACCCCTCCTGAAGGCGTCCAGAACTGGACATGATGCTCCAGCTGGACCTCACCAGCGGAGGGACGGTGCACTGTGTAAACAGCATTCTTCCCGCAAACACCGTGCATCAGCTCCGATCCACTGCAGCCCAGAAATTCTCACGGTCTCTCTGCCCAGCTCCTTGCCACTCACCAGGTGCCTGTTCAGTCAGTTATGGCTCCGCGCTTCACAACGGTGCTTGCTGAACTCTACTGTACTTTTTCACAGACCTTTGCAAGTTGCCATCCCTTCTTGATTTCACAGGATCACAGCATGGTTGAGGTTGGAAGGGACCTCTTGAGATCATCTAGCCCAACCCTCCTGCACAAGCAGTCTCAGTCACAGCAGGTTGCCCAGGACTGTGTCCAGTCAGGTTCTGAGGATCTCCTAGGCTGGAGACTCTTCCACCTCTCTGGGCAACATGTGCCAGGCTTTGATCACCCTCCTCACAGGAAAAAAAGTGATTTCTTGTGATCAGATGTAATCTCATGTGTTTCAGTTTATGCCTGTTGCCTCTTGTCCTGTCACTGGGCACTACTGACAGAACTACCGATTTGATGTGGTCTGCATGTTTCCTAAGTCAAGTTTGCTTCTCCGCCTCCATCACTAAAGCTGAACAACACACGCCCTTAAGCAGGTCTCTCTACAAACACAGTAAATGCGTGATTTTAGGCTACATAGTGCTAAGTGCGGCTGCACCCCATTGTGGTGGGCTGTTGACCTGGGCTGGCAGGTCAATCCCCCCCAGTTGCTCGGTCATTCCCCCAGTAGGACAGGGGAAAGAATCTGAAGGGCAAAAGCAAGAAAATTTGTGGGTCTAGGTAAAGATAGTTTAACAAGTGAAGAAAGAAAAGAAAAAAACCAAACCAAACCAAACCAAAAGGCAAGTGATGCAAAGGCACTCACTGCCAGCAGACTGATGCCCAGCCCATCCCCAAGCAACGGCTACCTTGGAAAAGCTGCCCCCAGTTTTCTTGTGAGCATGACATCATACGGCATGGTCTGTCCTGGCTGTGTCCTCTCCCAGCCTCCTCCCTCGGGTGCCGAGTGAGAAACAGGGCAGCCTTGACACTGAGTAAGCACTGTTCAGCAACAGCTGAAACATCGGGGCGTTACCAACAGCTTTGGTCACAGATCTAACACCCAGCACCGTGCGGGCTGCTATGAAGAAAATGACTCCATCCCAGCCAGGCCCAGTCCACAGGTCAGTCAGATGAGGGGTCCGTCTTCCCCACCACCCTATCACCTACAATGCCAGCTGCAGACGAGACAGTTCCCCGGATGCCTATGGCCTCCATCTGCCTGGCTCAAAAAGCTCCTGAGCTGTAATGCTGCATCTTTGCATTTGAAAGCCGGCAAGATTTTTCTTCCGTAAAGTTTTCTAGTTGCTCTTCTGAACCTTACAACATCAGCAAGTTCTAGCACACACTGCATGAAGAACCAACCCATGTTTCGGACACCCCTCCAGTGACACCCCTGAGAGGCAACACACCCCAGCAGCAGTTTCCCGTAGAACCTGTTCCCCATAATCAGCGTCTCTTTCCTTTGCTGTTTTCAAAGTCTTTTGCTCAGTCCCTGCTCACTCCGTGCTGCAAGACGACCGCAGAGGGCTGTGCTAGCCGGGGCCCTGTCTCTTCCCATGGCTTTTTGTGGCCAAGGCGAGGGTGCCTACAAGCTCCACCACAGCGGAGCTCAACGCCGTTGGCACACCTCTGTTCCCTTTGGGCAGCGGAGCAAAGGCCTGGTGTCTCGGGAAGCTCTTGCCTGCCAGACAATCTGTGCAGCAGCATCAGGATGCCGAGAAGCTTGTACCTGACATGGAGCTTCTTCTCCTTCCTGTGCTAGGGCAAGTCTCTGGCCTTTCAAATGAGCATGTTCAGACAGTGTAATCACCCGACTCCAACATCAGCAATCCCTTGTCGGGAGATCTTCCCAGCAACTGGGCACAAACAAGCCTTGCAGTCAGACGGTTTCCCAGGACCAGCTGCCAGACTGCTCGCTGGCTGTGCTGAAGCTGGACTTGCTTCCGAGGAGCCACATCCCAAGCATTTCATGCTTCTCCCCTGACAGACTTCGTCCTGCATGCCTGTCCAGTGAAGCAGGAGAAGGCTGGGCTCCCACATCCCACAGCTTCTGCCAAGTATCAGCACCATCTGCTGGGCACCCATGGGGCATACCAGCAATGCTGACTGTTCCCCCACCCACCCCACTGCCCCGAATCTCAGGGGGCACAGAGCATCTGCTCCTCCATTTGTGTCCCGGCAGGAACCCCAGAGACTGCTGACCGTGTCCAGAGGTGCAGGCAGCCCACAAACCCAAGCAACACACAGAAGCCACGAGAGCTTTAGGAAGGGCAGAGCACAGCCCCGAAAGGCGTTTCTGCCAAGCATGCTACAACCACCAACCCCACCAGCATGCTGAGCCTCAAGAGTCAGTTAAAAGTCTCTTGAAAGATGGCTCCAAGAGCCAAGGAACCAGAGCAGGCACTCTGTCCTTGAAAAGGAGAACTGCTCTCAGATGTGAGAGCGCAGGTCCAGCACACTCCTAACATGTGCACTTGCTGCATCTAGGAGGCTGCTGGCAGGCGTTCAGGTACAGATCTGCAGCAATTCCCTCCCAGGGCTCGCAGCCCTGAGCAGGGCTTCTGTGCAGGCCTGTCCAGCCCTCGGCAGGGCACAGCTGCCACTGCCTGCAGGGCATCCTCCTCTCCAGAAGCAGCACCCAGCCTTCCTCCTGAAACCCAGGAGCCTCACAGGTGGCAGCCACGCCGTGTGTGCCAGCACAGCCTGCTCTCCTGCCTGTTTACCTCCTCCCTCAATCGACCCTACTGCAGGCAAACTTGTCATTTCTTAGTCTAGAACTGTTTCTGCACCTGTTTCAGCAATTCACCTGGTAGATCCCCCCCTTCCAGAGAGTACAACCTACCTAACCGTTTCATCACAACTTTCAGTTGGCACGTCACATATCTGTTAATTACACAATGTTTCTGGTGGCTTTTCATTCATGCTCTGTTGCAAAGGCTCTTTATCGAACTCCTCCCAACGACAATTATTAGCTGATTTGGCACTCTTGGGGATAGGTTCAGGGACTTTTTATCTCCTAACAGATTCTGCCCTAGATGTAGAAACTTGCAGGCTTCTAATTTACCTCTGACATGGCCTAGAGTCTAAACACAACACAAGCACAGAGACATCTGAGAGTGAATGCTGAACATGCGAAGACAATCCTTGCAAATCCAGGCACTCTCAGTAAGTTTGGAAGATCCCATCACACGGTCACCATGCCCCAACAAGACCAGTCTGTTGTCCCCCAACCTTAAAACGCATACCTTGGTGTGAGAGTCAGCATCATCACCCCTATGTAACGCCGCTTTGTCTCTGTATTGCCAAACCAAGAGCCTGTCAAAGGAAAGGACATCAAAAGACAAGGCTGAAAACAGGCATGCACTCAAAATAGTGCTGGGCTGAGCCAGCCAAGTCACAGAGCCCGCAGGCCTCAAGGCAGACATTGTGC